GGGGAATCATATTTTGTGGCTTTAACTGTTTTGGGGTCTCTTTCTCCGTCAAATTGAGCCTGCACTCCATTCTATAATTCCTTCTTATCGGCCGGAGGCTTTAGTTATTTACTTTAAAATGGACTAATTTCTTATTCCAGCGGAGGGGGGACCGGCCGCTGACTTGAACAGCTGCTTCATGACCCAAAAAACTGTCAGTCTTTCCCTGGAATAAATTGTGGAATGTTCCATTTGGCGGCGCAGGGGTGACGGAACACGAGAGATGCCACAAATCCGTCACAAAACGCGCTGTATTTCCGTTACAGCGAAATAAACACAACCACAGATGCCGTTTAAAGATACTTAATTCGACTTGTGTGACATTCGGTTTAGGTTTTGAGCCATATCGGACACGCTGTTCTGCATCGCTCACCCCCGCCTCTGAGAGCAGCGCTTCGTGTAGGCTCATAGAATCAATTCACAGAGAGGGCAGCTTGAAACCGGCCGCTCATGCCTGTGCGCCTAGTTTGGAGAGAGTGGCGTGTCGGGCAGCTTGGAGTTTAATAGTCCGGGTAGCATCCGTGCTGTATGTACATGTCTGTCTCTCTATGTGTACGTGCATGGCTGTTACGGCTGTAAAAAAAAAAAAAAAAAAATTAAAAAAACGTGCTCGGAATTTTGATTTGACATGTTAAAGATCTGACTGAATCTTTGTTTTAGGCGCAGCGGAGGTTTATGACAGACGTGGTGAAATAAAGTTAGTGCTCCAACCAAATCCGCTCTGGTGGATCTCTCTCTCTCTCTCTCTCTCTCTGGGCGTGTGTGGATGTGTGAATCAAAGCGAACTGGCACACACATTGTGCGTGTGTGAGCATTTTTACCTCCCAAAACAACACCAAACTTTTCACCGTGGCAAAGCAGATCTGACACAGAAGCACATCCATTTTGACACTTGTCACACACAGTTGGCATGACTCAGATGGCTGCAAAGTTGACAGGTTTCATGCACAGCTACCTCTGTTATGCGTCCATGCTCACAAAGAAACATGGGTGCAAAAGGTCTACCAGCAATTCCAGCATTCAAGATTTAAATTGCAAGATTTGTCAAATTAGGGAATCAGTTAACAACCTAAATATACTTAAGTGTTGAATCTATCTTAAATGCCACTTTACACAATCCCATTACTCTCATCTCCAGGTCACTTTCTTGCACAGCATATACAGAGCAAGATTACATGTTCATGGTTTTCTCTGAGTGTAATCTCTGAGATGAATTATTCACAAATATACACTACAATAGACCAATAGTCCAATCAATCCCCCTGATGAACTCTCCTTCTCCCTTTAACCGTCTCTGACTGTCGCTCCTCTCTCATTACTCTGTTCATTTCCACAGCCAGTCACACACACACTGCTCCTGTGTGCATTCGCCTGTTAATATATATATATATATATATATAAATATGTGTGTGTGGCTTGTTTAATGCACTGCAGGTTGGCTCCTGCAGCAGGTCTGGCCAGATAAGAGCAACACACAGTTTTCTACTGGGGGGGGGGGGGGGGGGGGGGGGGGGGGG